ATTACTTGTATTGCTTGATGAATATTGTGAATGGCTTTGTAGTAAACAAGCATTCAGTTCCTTAGCTCAGTGTCAGGAGCATGTTTAACAATGCGTTGTGGCCTAAATTTAATTGAAGGAGAGAGAGAGAGAGAGGGGTGGAGCTACATAAAGAGAAAAGATAGTCTTAGAAATTACTGTGATGATATTTATCCGTACCTTGTGCCTTTTTTAAGAAAAATAATGGGGTTACTTGCCCTACAAGAAATACAAAGTTGTACCTTTTTGTTTTTTTGTAATTAATTCTTGAATTATTTCTCACTAACATTAGTAGTTTTTGAGACTATAAATACTCAAGTAATGATTTTTGTTGTGAAATTGGTGTGAATGCCCACATAAAGAAAATAACCACATATGGCTAAGGGTGGAAAGTGGAAGAATAGAAGTCAAAATTATATTGGTTAAATGGTAGAAGTTTGGTTTTTATTGTTTTGGTGTGTAAGCCTTTTATATGCATTAAAAGAGACGTATATTTGTATCATATGGGTAGTACAAAAAGATGAAAAGCAGAAGGTAATAATCATTTTTCCCTCATTTGTCCCTCTCTACGTTCATTTCTCTTATCTGATACTAGTAAAGAAAATAAACAGAATAATACATAGCTCTCGTTTCACTTCAATCTCTAACAACTCTGATGATATATATAGGTACGCATCATCTGATAATAACATTTTTTAAATGCTCAAGGTAATCATTATCTTGAATTGGTTAAAACTCCAAAAGACTCTAAAACAAAATTGTCGAACACTCTAATGTTTTAGCACATTCAATCACATATATTAAATATTAGATCGTTCTATCAACTATATTTTTCTCTCAAGTGAGGCATAAATATATATATATATATATATATATATATATTATGGCCCTTTATAACCAAATATATCTCGGGATACTAAACCTAGTTAGAAATTAATTTATTTATTAATTTATTTATTTCTAGTTTTACATATATTAAAATAAACGGCTTAAATGGGTATCCGTTCATAACCGCGGGTAATACCCATAACCATCCATTTAAATTTCACGGGTAAACGGTTATACCTATAACCGTTTATTTATCTAAATGGTTACCTATAACCGTAACCGTCAAATTTAAATGAACGGATAATCGCGGTTACTCATAACCAATGAGTATTTGTCCATTCCTACTATATGGGTGTGAATATAATACTGCTAACAGCATAATAAAGATCTAACACTTCCTCTTGTCTGATAATTGTGAGTCAGCTTCTACCAGAATTTCGATCTTCCTTTAATACTGGACGATGATTTTCTTATTTGAAAACATGATATACAGTTCTAACATCTGTTTCCACTTAATTTTCGGACACATCACACTCACACGACGCCACACAGGAACACTTGACTTTCATCAAATCTTCTCGTCGTGATTGTTTCTGCTACATAGAGGTTTACTCGGACTGGATGAGGGATTTAAATTTTGTCTTGAAAGCGGGGATAAATGTTCACTACCGCTGAAGCTACCAGCCCCCGGTTTCCATTGTTTGATGAATGTAACATTAAAATGCGCAACTGCTATGTACTTTCTTATGCATAATTCAGAGTCATAACTTGTAACAAGTGCCTAATTTAACTGTGGATGGATAATATAGACTTTAGAAACACGGATTTTTTTTTTTAAGAAGAAACGATAACAATTTATTAAAACAATAGCATGAACGAAAGAAAACTTTCTAACCTTATACAATCATAATTCCAAAATTGGTGAAACATTCATAATTCCAAAATTGTTGGAACATTCATAATTCCAAAATTACCCTCTCTTATTAAATTTTCAAATAATATAAGAACTTCACAAAAAAAAAACCCACTCCCATAACCAACTTTATTTATTTTTAAATATATTATTATTTTGTTTTTCTGTTTTTTGTTTTTTTTTTTTAAATAAAAAATTATAAGAGCCAATTGCCACACGCATTCACGTGCAGCAAGAGGCTAGTATTAAAATGTAAATAGATTTTTAATTGCACTATATTACGATTTAGACCTATTTTTATGGACATGATCTTTGTCTATAGAGTGAGGGCATTTTAAAATTTTTAAATGTTTCACCTATTTCCACCTTTATAAGTACTATTTGGGATTTTCACTTTATAAGTAGATAAGATAAGTAGAAGAAGAATAAGTAGAACTTGCAAATTTCACCTTCAACCTATAGGGTTTAATTAGTTCTTATGTGCAAAGTTGTTTTGAAAGTGATATAGCAAGCTCTGATGCATAGCCTTTGCAAAGTTGTTTTCAAAGTGATATAGCAGGCTCTTATGCATAGCCTTTATTTGATTCATTGCATCATATTATTGCTAATTTATTGTGAGGTACTTTTGAATCACATTATTACTAACTTATTATGAGGTACTAATTGTCACATCCCGGCCCGGGCCCCTACCACATCCCTGGCCCGACTCCACCGTAGCACGATATTATCCGTTTTGGGCCCCGACCACGCCCTTATAGTTTTGTTTATGAGAACTCACACGAGAACTTCCACTAAGTCACCCATCAAAAACAAAACCGTGAGGGCGTGGTCGAGGCCCAAAACGGACAATATCGTGCTACAGTGAAGTCGAGTGGTGGGGGCCCGGACTGGGATATGACACTAATTATTATAAAAATTAAAAATTAAAAGTTAAACAAAAATTGTACAAAAGAAATTAATTATTAAAAAATATAATTAAAATAACGAAAATACCCCTGCTACATTTGATGCATTATTTTGAGTTGCTTTTGAAGTTTTTTGTTTGATGGACATTTTTGTTCAATTATTTTTTGTGAAGCTTGTGAATATATTTATAGAAACGGAAGATATACAATTCATAGAAGTATTAACTTCTCTTCAACTATGGGGAATTTTTAGTTGCTCCAGAAAAAAGGAAAGAGAGGCACAATCAATGAGAGAGAGGGAGGCACAACAATCAATAAGGGAGAGAGAGGGGTGCTCAAGAAGTCCAGCAAGCTCTGAATCCTTTTCAGATCTTGCCGACATATGTGAGTTCCAAGATCCAAGACTCTACACGGGAGGGGCTCATCGCAATTTTGTCGAATGCAGCATGGACAATGGTGTCATCTTCAATTTTAGCAAACGATTAGGTAATACGAGGGATATAGGAATATAAGAAATTCAAACTATGGGCAATTGTTTTGCTTTCTTGCAATGTTATGGGTATTCTCTGCTCATGTGCCACTCTCTGTGGTACACCGCACTCAGAAGAAGCCCCTCTACCCCTGCACCGGAGCTAGCAGTCGGTACAAAAAATAATAATCAAGAAGGAACCGATTCCTTCTTGATTATTATTTTTTGAACCGATAGCTCCTGTGTAATTAGGGGAGTGGGTTTCTTCTGGGTGCGGTGTGGCATATGAGCAGAGAATACTCATAAGTTCATAACGTTTCAAGAAAAATGAAATAATTGCCCATAGTTTGAATTTCTTATATTATAGTTTGAATTTCTTATATTCCTGTATCCCTCGTATTACGTTTGCTAAAATTGAAGACTACACCGTTGTCCACGCTGCATTCGACAGAATTGCGTTAAGCCCCTCGCGTGTAGAGTCTCGGATTTTGGAACTCGCATTTCTCGTCAGCGTCTGAAAAGAATTCAGAGCTTGCTGGACTTCTCGAGCACCCCCTCTCTGTCCCTCATTGATTGTGCCTCCCTCCTCTCTCTCTCATTAATTGTGCCTTTCTTTTGCCTCGCTCTCGCCGGACTCTGTGACTCCACTGGTGTTCATAAGCTTGAACATATACGTATGCAGAAAACCCAATTTCACAAGACATTTGAGAATCACACGATGATACGACTATGAATTTTGATTGATTTTGATTGATTTAAGGGAGAATGCGGAGAGAATGGAGGAGAGAGAAGAGACCTTTGGGGAGAGATCGTAGACGTTGGAGCAGCGCATGCCAATGAGCCGCCGCAAGCACTTGATCTCGGCGGCGACATCGACGGTGTTCATCCGGACCTTCAGCATCTTCGCCGATGAAGCTCCTCCTCCTATCTCTGTGGTGTTGTGTTGCGTGGTCGGCGGTAGTGTTATTAGCTTTCCGTGCAAGGCGAGAGAGCTTTTCTTCTACTCAAATTTTTATGGGAAAATTAGAATAAGGGCTTTTAGGTAATTATAGTAATACTAAGTGGGGATTAGTATTGTGGCACTTCTACTTTCCTGGTCACGCGCGTTATGCGTGCTTTGCTTACTTGGTGTGTGATCAGTGACAATGATACAACTAGGGTTTTTTAGGAAACCACATACACGCCTCATTTTTCTCCCCGCATATACCTATGTTTTAATTTTATCGATTGATTTTTGTTTGACGTGTTTAATTCAATAGCCAAAAGATAAAAAGAGGTGTGTAGCTTAAACTAGTCTTTTTTTCATAATAGGTTTAATTACTTGAAATCGAAGGAATCATGAATCGGTATAAAATGATGGAGATGTGAAGGATGTGATGAACAACCTTAAGCAACCAGTTCGCCAATTGCATACTTAATGATTTAGGTTTATCATACCCAAAATCAATGTAGGATTCACTTATTTGTTCATTTTTTTAAATATTAATTAATGCATGATATAATATGAATCAGAATAATACTTATCATTTCGTAAGTCTTAGCTGAGTTTTGGTTTTTGTAAAGGCATGTACCTATGTAGACTCTTGTGCCATTTAAGTTAACATTTAGGAAAAACACATATTTTCCCATTTAAATAACATCACAAACTTAGTAAAATCCGAATTTCACTTTGTATGATGGATTCATGGAAACCACATTCTCATTTGATTTACACGTCAATTTGCAAAGCAGACAAGAGTCCGGTTTGGAAGTATCGGCGCGTAAAAAGAGAAAAAAATAACGTCAAGAGATGGAAGGTGAAAACTCAACTATGGCACATCTCTAAAGAGCAGTCCCGACATTCCGCAGCTTTAACCACAACACACAGTGGTGCTAAGGAAATAACTTCAGAAAATTTTACATTCCTCGTCTTACAAAACACGACTTCATGGCAGGATGCAGCAACACAGCCCAGCTCTGATTATTTCTGCAGATGAATGATCATGTTCAACAAGAGGAATTAAAAGCACTTTCTATTTATACAAAAGCCTATCGATGGGGAGGAAAGCCATTCAGGACTGGCCAAGATCTGTATGTATAATCTGTAAACTTAACAAAAGCTGTTGTAATAACTTTGGCAGATCACCACCCACATATTTACATGTCAAATCGGGAGCTTGCCTGAAATACAAATATCTACATGCCATCAAGTTTTGAGCTTCGCTCTATCGGCTTTTTAAGTCCTTTGGGTTATTACGCAGCTCGGGTTAAAAGCAGGGACATAAACAGGGTATGATGTGAACTGTCTCTGCCCCTGGCGGATGGTTCGCCCCACAGAATGACGCATCAGAGGATTAGGTGCACAACCAGAATGCACAGTTTCGATCAGCTCAAATCAAAGCCGGCATCTGCGCTTATAGCATACATCAATTTTGATTCCAGTTGCTCCTTACTGCATCATAACAAGGAAGCACTTTTAGAAGAAGAATACAACTAACAAACAGCTTATTTGCTTCTACAACGAAAAAAATAAAGAGAGAAACAGCAAACCTTCTATATGGTGGAAGCTTTAGGAGATTCATACAAGTGGCTGCAGTCGGTAATCGGTCAAGAGCTCCTTCAGCTCCATTGCCACCAGCCCTAAGGAAAGAGCAGAAAAATTTAGTAAAACAAACTTTATCAGCCATTTCGCCAAGATGAAAGGGAAAAAAAAAAAAAAAAAAAAAAATCTAAAATGATATAAATCTTTCATGAACTCTTACCTCTGTATGCAAAATAATGGTTCCAAGTATTTGAATCCAAGCAGAGGTCCTCGAGAGCACCCAGTCACAAATCTGGATGAAAAATAGTGTGGTCAGTATCTCTCCCGATGTTCATTAACTTCAAATCCAATTAAATACAGGAACTCGCAATAGCCAACATAAACATACGTTCAAGGGATTTTTGTGATGGATACTAAAAACTCACTTTAGAAATTTCTTCTGATTTTCCAATGAAAAACTTTTCAGAACTTCCCAGAACATGTCAATGACATAATGCTCCTGTCAAAAACAAATAACCAGCAGTAAATCAGTTGCGTGAAAATGTAATGAAAAAGGTTGACAGCCAATGACTGGGTTCATCTAGAGCTACATTTATCCATGCAAACGGTGACTTTATATGTCCCACAAGAACACAAATAAGCCAAATAAATGTGAAGGAACTTACACTATGATAGCCACCCACATAGTTTGTGTGCATCCGTAGGTCATCGACATCCAGGCTGTCAAGTGAACCTGATATCAGAAGCTATAAAAACAAAGCGGGTCAAAAGAAGAGGACAGTTATGCATAATTGCCTGTGACAGTGGAAAATGCATGCTAAGTGTATATTACAGATGCAGCCACTTCTCAAACAATGGAATGATAAAACTTTCGCTTCCTAATAAAAAAATTCTTCAGCCTTTGACTAGGAGAAAAGGTCCAGAATCAGAATGGAACAACGTGGATCTTAGGTTCCACCCAATAGAAACTCTAAAGTTGGGCGGAGCATGCCACATACAACATCCTGCATTGCCATGGTGGTACTCTTGTACAGCATAATGTGTACCAAAATATTCTCCTTTTACAAAAAAGAACCATTTTAAGTTTCCAATACCGGAAAGCATAACAAAAAATAGCACACATGGTACGCCCTTGCAAAAACCTCACAGTAAGCATTTGTAGCATCACTGGCAACTCTTAAATGCAATAATGACATCACAACTATATTGTCAAATTGGACAGAATGACTTAAGCTTGTTTTAGTTTATTGATCTTAGAGAACCGGCAAAGAAGAAGTGAGCATACTCAGGTGATTTCATGCAAACAAACCCTAATCAACAAAGCCAAAGGGTATACGAATATACCTGAAGCTCATGCTCATTAAACATATCTATCCTATCTTTCTGTATAAGCTGCTGAAACCCCCTTAAGAAATGTGAACTTTGATGATGTATCTGAAAATGATCATTTGTCATGTTCACATAAAGAAGCTACGTCATCATTTGGAACAAGGGTTCAAAATGGAAAGTTGCACTACCTGAAAGTTCAAACGATGGTTGGCAACAAAATGAATAAAGGTAATGACATTCTCATTAGTGACACGTAGGTCTTTTCCCCCGGGAAGCAGCTCCTCTTCTGTTTGCTCTCCATATTCATTATTTACAATGACAAAGTACAATTCTAATTCTGATATATCACCTTTATAACGCTGCAGATATAAATCACAAACAGGAAGGAGTCAGCTCTACATGCAACTAAACAGGAGCCACACTTTAATCTGAAGTGCAGATGAGAGAGAGTTATTGAGTCAACTGCTTTCCATCAAGCATGATTATAGTATCCAATCCAATAATATGTAGACCAAGAATAAACTTTCGTCGAAGCCAATGACTGGAGGGTGAAATTCAGTTTTGAAAAACAAAAATTTATAAACAGATACTGTGAAAATTGACATAACTGAAAGCAAATTTGCAATTCATACCATTGGATTCCTAAAAGAAATATCCATTCCATAGGACAAATCTATTTCTAAATCCAACAGTACATTGTACAAATATAAAGATTAGAAAGTATTTTTGTTTATAAATTGAATATTAGAGAACTTTATCAATACTGAGGTTCCAATAAAGCTTGGTGCATTTATGAAATTCCATTTCATCGACTATGTTAAAATCCATATTATCAATCAATGGAATGCTTGCTCATACAGCAAAAGAAGTTAGATGTGAATGTAATTAATTTCTTTAAACCGAGTATTTGCAACAAGATGTTGGTTTGTGTAGTCTTTTCTTAGAATCATGTCAAAAAAAGAACAAGCAGTCAGTAAAAGCTACAATGTATCAGGAGGTATGTTTACAAAAACTGGGTTACCTTCAAGAAAATAAGGTGACGGTACAACTCTGGGTCCAATGAAGGCAAATCATTTAAATAGTTGTACCTAATCAACAAAAAGAAATAGATTTCTAGTATTAACATTGCAGCATGTTGCAAATGGTATATCAACAAGATTTTCTCAGAGAAAACATGCACTTACTTTTGTTTTAATTTGCTCAGAAAAAACGTTGCAAATGGTATATCAACAAGAATCCCCTCGAACATGGCCTGTAAGGAGTCAAACATGTGATACCATGAAGAAGCACCATATGAACTAAAACAGTATACAAATTTTTTATACCTTTGCAAGAAGAATCCCAAGAAAGTGAAAGAATTGGAGATGCTGTTCGTGAATCATTCCTGAACCAGGACTAGGGTAGAGTAAATGATCGGATGTTTCCTGGATTACCAAGCAAAGCAGGAGGAGGAAAACAAATAAGCAAAATCAGCATAAATATAATTTACCTAAGTCTACCTGTCTAGGTGTGAATATAATATTGCCAACATCATAATAAAGATCTAACACTTTCTCTTGTCTGATAATTGTGAGTCAGCTTCTACCAGAATTTCAAGACATATCTTCTTTTAGTACTGGACGATGCTTATCTTATTAGAAAGCATGATATGCAGTTCTAACCTCTGTTTCCACTTAATTTTCGGACACATCACACTCACACGACGCCACACAGGATCACTTGACTTTCATCAAATGTTCTTGTAGTGATTGTTTCAGCTACATAGAGGTTTACTCGGACTGGAGGACGGATTTAAATTTTGTCTTGAAAGTAGGGATAAATGTTCACTACCGCTGAAGCTACGAGCCCTCGGTTTCTATTGTTTGATGAATGTAACTTTGAAATGTGCAACTGTTATGTACGTTCTTTTGCATAATTCAGAGTCATAGCTTGCAACAAGTGCCTAATTTAACTGTGGATAGATACTACAGGCTTTAGAAACATAGATTTTTTTAAGAAGAAACGATAACATTTATTAAAACAATAGCATGAGTGAAAGAAAACTTTCTAACCTTAAACAATCCATACTGAACATCAAAGGCTGCTCGAGTTATGTTCTCCATAAAGTCTTTGAAAATCCCGCCACCATCAATTCCAGCCTCCTCAACCCCAAATTCATTTACAAACGTTACACGAATCTGCAAATAGACAGATCAAGGTGGTAAGGCGGTTATTGTGGTATTGGATAAGAAGAGGAGAGGATAAGTGCTTGCAAAAAATAGGCGGACAATCACTTCTCCGAAAATTCAGTGCCTATTTGACCCCAAAAAACAATCAGTAAAACATTACAAGGTAACTATTGTTGGTTTGGTAGCAACCATAGCATTCATAGTATTGTCAAACACACTCCTAACGACAACCTTCATCAATTGAATGTATACAAACAAAAACAGATGCATTACCGGTCCCCGAAGATCATCTTCAGACAGCGCACTCATTTGGTCATAAGCATCTTCCAAGATATGATCCCGCCGTATTCTGAATCGGTTTCTGGTAAATACAGAATTAGACTCATGTCTTTGTCTAGCTGCTGCCAATTGTGACTGACAAAGTGGTTTGAATAAACTGATTAATTTTTTTCAACATGACAAGACTTAAGCGCATAAAGATCGGCATATCATTTTTCCTCTACAACTTAAATACTTACAGTGAATATTTTAACTCTGCTTGTGAATGGTACCAGGAAGGGAGCTTGCTTCATGATGTCATTTGCTCGGGTATTTTCTATTACGGCCTGAAAAATAAAGACATTAAAACCAGTGCTAGCAAGATCTTGGTCCTAGGAAATGTTTACCTGTGTAATAAAGAACTCATTAACACCATCAGCATGAAAGTCACTGGGGGATGTGAATTCTCGTCTATTGTTCCAATCTTGCAACTACACAAAACAAATTGGAAAAACAAAATGCGTAAGATTTCCTGTTCATTGTATGGGGGGCATATCTCTACAAAGAGAACCAAAAATACACAACCTGCAAAGGAGAGGGCAAACACAAAATGCACAACAAGAAGGGTACATCCTTTTCCAAGGAAAACAGACATAACACATATAGCTTGTTAATACCTGGGAAAGGAGTTCAGAAGCTACAATGCTAACTCTATGTTGAATTAACTCCACAGGGTGCTTCTTAGAAGAGGTGGTTGTGACAGGTTTTGAAGAATTACTGGGAGCCATAGGATTCACCCAAAGCAGTTGCCAAAGGGCCTGCAGAAGAAAGAAAGTCCAGATAATGCATCTATTCATTTGAAATTACAGAGTAAACATCACAAATCAACACTAAGTGTAGAATTAGCAATCAATATGGTTTTGTACATCTTGTTTGTCATACACAGAAAACAACTGATTAGTCTTACAGACTACATTTAACCAAAGGACAACCACACGTCATTTCTACAATGAATATCATTCTTTTGATCATTTTACTAAAGAATTACCTGTCTGAGTATGATAACTAGGTATCTGATATCCTTCAATGATAGTGGCTTCTCCTGCTCATAGAACTCCTCATTATCAACTACTGTAAGCATGTGCCTGATCCATAACAAAAGGGAAACAGACGAATCATAGGTAATCCCATCTCAAGCTGCTACACAATACTCTAGGATCAACCCAGAATACATAAAACTAACTTCACACCACTAAAATATATATAGACAAAGATCCAAGCAAAATTAAGCAGGGACTATTACTTGTACACAGGACAGAATACAGCCAAAGGTAATAGCCAGCCAGGTGCATCTCCGGGCAGCAGATATGCCAACTGCTCAGATACTGACTGCCATTTCTGGTTTTCGTGGCACCGTTTCATAAAATTCCAAAGCACCGGAACAAGTTCCGTTCTATAAGCCAGTATAGTCATGATTCTCTCCAGAGGTAAGGTGTTTAAAGTAACATGTAGAAAAGCACAAGCCGCACCAACAGCTGACACCTCTTTATCATCCGGTCTCTGGTGGAAGCCACTGGAAAGTGAAATCCCTCCAAACAAAACATTTGTCTGCTCAAAGCATTAAGCAACAAATCTTGGTTAGAGTTTATTGGTAAAGACAAATTTGCTTAATATAATTGTACTTGCATGGAAAATAGAAGTACATAATACCAAGATGGCTTACTAATTGCAGAAGAAAGCGCAGATCTATGGCATCACATATCTGTCGTTCTAAATCATTATTCAAACAAACTTCCATTGCATCATCTCCTTCAATCATATCATCATCACCCGTAGAATCTGAAAATCACCATATGTTGTACATAAATAGAGAATTTAAGTATGCTACACAAATTAAAAATTGAACAGAAGATTATAGATGGAGACAACTTAGAAAAATGAAAGTACCAAAAAAAATAGTAAGAGGGCAATAAAGTACAATGCATACCTTCTTTGCTTTCTCTATTTGATGATTTCATTGAAGGAAGGGCCTCCAACAAGAATGTTGCGATGCCAGCAAGGTCTAAAGCCTGATATTAGAAAGAATACATTCAATCAGGGATCAAAGCCGTGAAAATGGATGGATTAAAAATAATACATATATATAATGCATGCATGTGTATGAGTGAGCACAATGAGAAACTTTACATACATATGAGATAAAATTATGCATTGTTAAAAACCTATCACTTGTACAAAGTTAATCTTCCAATTTTCGCAATAGTAGATCACAAAGTAGACCTGTTGCTAAAATTGAACCTAAGATCTCCCTGATTTTTGAGCACATAAATTTATGCAACAACTTGAACAAAACATGCTAAACAACCAACATGTTGCCATTTCTAATTCTGATAGCAGTCCGGTATTTACCATTTGAAATGAGCAATCAGTCTGAGACAGAGCGACCCCGGAAGATTCCAATACATTTCCAATAAGGCATGCATAACCGGGTAACTCAACTGATGCATCTTTCGGAAGTACATCAGCATGATTTTTCACAAAGAGTGACATCTGATTAATGTAATGCTGGCTCAGCCCTCGTCTTGCAAAAACCTAAATGAAAGAGATTACCTTAATTGCAGAATGGTATATGCCCAGGAAATCTTAATACAGACAAAAAAAAAAAAAAAAAAAAAAAAAAAAAAAAAAGGCTTCAAAAGACATAGGGACCAAGTCATTCAACTTTACCTCTCCTAAGTAGGGGAATAGCTTCCATACAAATGGAACTGTAAGAATTTGAGATGAAAAACTCCAATGTGGATCGATGTTTGGGCACGTACATGGCTCCTGACCAATGTGAGAAATTACAACAGCAAGACTACGCTCCAACGATGACACTCTGCCAATGTAATTATGAGTCTTTATACTTTCCTGCACCCCATTACTCGCAGGTTTAGGAGATGAGTTCACTCATGTGTGAATGCCAACATCGAGTAAATGACAGATATCCAGAAACAGATAAAACTAGAAAAAAAAAAAATCAGGAAACATACATAACCAAGTAAGTTGAACAAAAAATATTAAACAAGTGCTTTCAGCTAACTTTCTATAATAATGGGAAAGCAGATTGGTGATTTGAAGCTAATTGAGGGACGAGAAGGTGCTCCCTTGTCATCTTCCGTATTCACTTTTGTTATAGATGTTCTGAGTAGCTTCTTTGCGAGAAACCTTAGTTTCAGGAATTAATATTGTAGGGAAATGCAAAGCTTGACAACTAGGTTTGGGGTTGGGTGTAAGATTCACCAATAACTTATTTCGGGATAGCAGTAGGTGTTAAATGATGATAATTTCTTGATTGATTTAAATGCCTTTAGTTTGGGAATATTGTATTAGTTTCCATTTACAGCTTTATATCATGTAATAAGTTCAGCCTCTTAGAGAGAAGAATATACAGAAAACATTCTTAGTAATATTTTGTTGTGGAGCCTATCTGATTTAGAGTAGGTTCTAGGTTTTCTTTGAGTCGATGCATCATGGTAGAACTCTGGTGTCCAGTTGCCAAAATCTTTTTCAGTAATCTTTTGTTGATTTTCTGGTTGCTTGGCTTCTGTTTGATCTATCTTGGGTTTCAAAATGTCAGAAAATTCAGAAATTTAGCCCATCAAATTGAATGCAAAGAACTATTTTTCTTGAGTTTCAGTTTCATATGTTTGTGTGGAAGCAGCTGTAGGGAAATATGGATGGATCCAATCCGAAGCCAAATGCAGAAACTGATAATATCAAAATGTCAGAAAATTCAGAAATTTAGCCCAACAATTAGAAACAGCTCTAGAACTAATAATTTTGGTTACTGTTGACCGACATGAGGCCAAAGCTTTATAGTTTCCTTAATGGTTCATACTTCATAAAAAGAAAGGGGGGTTTGCTACATCATTTTTCTTTGAAAAGTGATTTGGCTTGTGGGGAAAGCCTCTCCTGTTAAAACAAAAGCTATTAAGTATGGACAAAGAGCTGGAATCAGATGCATACCTTTCCTGTTAAAATAATCTCTCTATACAGGATAAAAGCCTTTCTCTGCAAAAGATAGCCAACTGTCTCACAAGCCCATGGAAGCTTGGGATCTATCAATAAAACTAATGCTTCTAACAGTAGAGTTGTTGACGTGGTGGCCTCCTCAGGGGCTGCAAAAAGTTGATCCTTCAACTGATTTCTGTCCAATAACACAGTTCAATAAGCAGCTATGGGTATCAAGCAACTCAAAAACCATATATGTATAGGATATCAGAAACCAACAAACCCATAGAATTAAAGTTTATACGCTACTTCTAAAACAAATTTGCAGATGACTCCTTTCTAGCATGCATGAAAGTCGTGTGAAATGCATATTGTCATGTCCTCTAACCCAACAACCAGAACAACAGAATCAGTTCAGCCATTATAAATGACATAGGTATAGTATGCTATACACTTGCAAAGTTAAATATATCTGTAAACACAAAATTACTAGAATTTGAATGTCTTCCATGACTTCATGTGCTATTAGATGCAAAAGAGACGTCATCATTCCTTAACCCACCCATTAATAGAAAAGAGTACAACGAGAACCAAAATAATGACTTGAGTAGTGATTTTATATAAGAAATCAATCAAGAAATGAGATGCTTATAATATAATTGAGCTAGGCATAACAAAAAAAAACACATGAAATCGAGAAAAACACCAAATTAGTGGTCTAAATCAGAAGCAAATGACCAAAAATTTAAAACAAATTCAAAATATGTTGATGCAGCCAACCTGTTTTGATGAACAGCCTTCAAACAGATATATGCAAGTTGCTTCACTCTGTGTTTCACCAAAGCATGCTTGGACAAATAATCCATGCCTGCAACGAGGCTCATAATATCCCCTGTTTCAGGATCAGATTTTGTCAACAACACCCAAAATGTGCTAAGCAGTGTGAAACAAGCAGAACCTCTAGACATCTTCATTAAATCTTAAAACCAATGTTATTATATAATTGTACAAAACTTAAAAAGATGTGCTTCCTTGACTATCTCTTCATAGTCAAATTTGAAATTATTCATCAGATAAGAACCAGATCAATAGCACACATATAGTCAGCTCCGTACTTATCAAATACAGCATGGATCAGGGTTTAATGTGAAGACAGGCTAGTCATATCTCTATAAACCACAGTCAAATGCACGAAGCCATGGACAGTTGAAGATCCTTAACGGAAGAATTGGCATGTTACCTTTGAGAATTGTTCGGGTAACCAGTGATTTCCAATCTAAATAATTCTGGACTATAGAAAAGTTTTGAAGGTTTCAGATTTTAATCATAAAAAGTCATTATAAATTAGTTTTATCTTTGTCAGATTCTTATTATCTTACAATCAACCAGGTCATTAAACCCCTCTTAAAAACCAAAACAAGCCTATTCAACGGCCTTGCACATATACTGTCAATTATTCATTACTTGGGCATTTGGGGGAGACGGACGGGTTTCGGGTTAAGTCTTAAAACTACATGAGAAGGGAGAAACCGTGATAACAATCCCTACACTAAAATGAGAGTTCCAGAGAAAGATCACCCCCAAACAGAATTTACTAGTTGAGTATACGTCTTTTTGAGAAAAAGAATTTATTATGTGAGGTATATTTACCACATAATTTCTTGTACAGACAGCTCTTCATAAAAGAATAAACTTACCTGTCTCTCTGACAAATTGATGAAGCAACCGGCACGTCTCCACAAGGATAGAAAAATCACCAACGCTTCGAGCATCAAAGAAGAAAAGTAACTGGCGGAGAAACTCTGAATCGGGACCAAAACTAAATCTGAATGCATAGGGACAATTTGAAGAAGGCCATGATGCTTAAAACAGAGCCTCAATTAACAATAACTAAGACAAAAGTGGAATATAACAGATAAAAAGGATCCAAATCTAACCTGTCCACATTCTGGCAATGCCTCCCATATCTTACATAGAACTGCTCACGCACCTTAGAATGTTCAGCCGCTGCCACCTTCCTACCTCTAAAGCATTTCTGTAGCTAGAAATTAGTCAACACTTGAAAAAAAAAAAAAAAAAAAAAAAACTCAAATGGATAGTAAGACATGCTACACTTGATCTTAGCCAAACAGCCGAGATAACCTATTTCAAACAAAAAGCAATCAAAAAGTACTCATCGACTACTAACATAAGTGAGTGGGTAGAGACATCATTTGTATATGGATATCCAGTAACGTGCAATATAAGTCTGAATTGTCTAATTAACTGAAAATTCACCTTTTCATATGCTTCAATAGATATTATAGCTACATGTAATAATTTCGCAAATACAGCACTAAAGGATAGATGATCGCTACATTTATTACCTCGATGACATCAAATCTATGTCATGCAAATTTACTTATAGCTTTACTGACCATTCAGAACCCAAATAGAAAAACGCAACAAAGAAAGGGTGACTAGAGACAGAAGAATGGGAATCTTTCTCCTCTACCTACATTAAATGAGAGGAAAGAAAAGGAAAGCCCCTTTAAATACCATAGGAAAGGCACATTAGCACTATTTCCAGCTGTGCTTATGTCTACTTAGCTTTCATAAATATATATTTTAGCACACATTCTATAAAGCTAATATGAATTTCTCGAGTCTCGGTTATGTATACTTCTTCTTTCCAGTTGCAACAATTGAAGAAGGATTTAAAATTGGTATCTTCTCTTCGTGAAACTAAAAACTGAGTTATGCCTCAGACATGTGTAAGCTGTGTATACACCATTACACCTTTTCATATAGATTGAAGATGTTTGGTAAGTGTTTAGTTTTAGGAATTCAACACGTGTTCAAAGTTTCATTCTTCACATAATTATCCATTCCAAGCATAAGATCACTTGTATAAGTTGAAAACTTTGAGGGTGTGCACTGTGATCAACTCATGTTTAGCTGCATTGAGATTTAACTAGTTGACATTCGACCCACAAATCGCTACATTCAGCTATATACTAACCTGGAAAGCACGACTCACTCAATCAACAACAGTAAATAATTAGCCTTCAGCAGTTACAGGCATTCAGGATAAATAGAGATTAGATGACCAAACATATAAACCTCCACCTATTTTCTCGACCTCCAAATAATCTATTTGTATTTCCGAGACAATTAAAAACGTGTTCATACTCCGTAAACTCCACATTTTTCAACAACTATCATCCAATGCACAAACCATTACCAATAACTACCCAAAGAACCTCAATTTACTTTCTTTTACAATTGAAACTACACTGCAGAATGCAGCAACATACCTCCAACTAATTAGGTTAAAAACACGATCAAACTGATGAAATTTTCACCAATTCCGTACATTTTCAACTCTCACACACTTCGAGCTAATTCGAACGGCATAGAAAGCAAAATGCAGAAGTCCAAACCTGGATTTTCAACGCGGCGAAGTTCTGCTGCCGTATCCACGACCGGCGGATGCGTTCCAACCTTGTCTGCTCCAAAAGCTTCTGCCTGTCCCTTTCCTTCGTACTCCGCCCTCCCAAATCAACTCGCTTCCGAGTCGATGAATCGCCCGAGAAGAACATCCTTCCGCGTCGAGTCCGTCAGTTCCAATCCAATCCCAGGCGACGGGGATTGGTTGTGTTGCTCGGTTTAACGCTTCAGAAGGCTGGTTTCAGAGCTTGTGAATGTTTGAGCGGATGGATTGAGTGGAAGTAGAATCGGAGAAACTTGGATAAAGAGAGGGGATTGGCGGGTGTAATCGTGGGGAAAGGGAGGAATTTGCGTTTGGTTATCGAGAAAATTAGGAGCGAAATGGAGAGACTGTGCGTGTATTTTCTCTCGCTATTTTCTTATTGGATTTTCTCGGCTGGACTTACTGGAGGATGGAGACGTCGGCCGCGAAAGAAATTTAGTAACTTTTTATAAAATAAATTAAAGGCTTATTCTTTCCACGCCCATAAAACCCTACCAGATCTCACTTTAGTCCCTAAAACCCAATTTGCATCATTTACTCTTTTAAAACTCATCTTTTACGATCTAGTATTTTTCTTTACTTGGAAGTGAGAGGTCTTAAGTCCGAATCTCGTGGATGGCGACTTCAATACCAAAATTGACTGTTCATTGTGTGGCCTAACCGAACTTCCCCTCTTCTTAATGTAAAAATATCCATGTACTCAAAAAACAAAAGCAAAACTTAATTTTTACATCACTTTGTCATTTTCCATTAATTCCATTAAAATTTTCATTATTCTCTAACCTAGCATGATCCAACCCATTTATAGGGAACAAGATCCTTTTTGGAAGCGTTATGTAAGGATTCTAGAAATTAGTTCATCCTAAACGTTCATCACACATCTTGCAATCAGAAATTATTTTGAATTTTGACAACGAAACGAAGTTGAGTTTTGTGGGGAGGAATGGGGCTCGGTTCATGTTGGATGGCAAGGTATTTTACTTTTATGATGGTGGTGGACCATGGGAGATTGGGATTACTTGAGAGGACTGGACAAAGTTTTTCATTATTTTTTTCAATTTTCTTTTTTAATCTTATTTTTTATTCAAAAATAGTTTTTAAATGAAAGAAAGTCTCAAAATTCATTCAAATCTTTAAACAAAATCTATTCAAATCTTCAATCAAAATAAGAATCCTTGAAAATCCATTTGAAAGTTGTAAGAACGGTGTATTCAATTGAGATTTTGAAATATTTTAATGGATTTATAAATTCATGGATTTTGATGGAGTTTAATTGATTTGTAAAGATTTTATGTAAAATTTTGATTCAATTATCTCGAAATCTCATGGCAAGAGATGAGATTTGTAAATGCTTAAAATACATTACGAAATCTCTAATTCCCGCAAATTACTCAACTTTTAAAATTCTTTAAACCTCTTGTGTCACGGAAGGTCATTTTATGAGGTCCCCTTAACCTGGTGTTGTCGTCTTATTGTGTGAAACAAATTGATCTAATCAATATTCAATTTGTAAACTAATCGAATTATCATATTCAAATTACAATTTTTTTCTCCTTGATTTGAATTCTGATGATAACGGTTTTATTTCATGACTTAAATACAAAGGGTGCGAATTTCTCATTCCATACGGGATAACTTGCTCTGCGAACCATCACACGTTGTATTAAATCTCATCAATCATCTTGTTTTCGTTAGTTGGATTAATAATTTGGTTTTGCATTGTGTTTATTTATGTTTTTACTTTGATTTCTTATTATGAGAAACAGTTTAAGTACATCTTTGGTGCTTAACCAACTCAAATTACTATTACCCCTATACATTACGTAATACGTACCTCTAGTCCTTAAAAAATAAAGGAGTACAACGGGTCAGCCCAGCTCAACTAGATCCATTTGACATCTTCACAATCATGTTTCATATCTTTCTCGTGGCGACACATTTTTAAAATGGCCATGTCACTTATCAAAATAAACAATGAAATGATCATTTGGTAATATAGTCTACTGTTATTCCTCTTCAATTGTAAGTGAGAGATCTTAGATTTGATTATTGTCAAATGCGAATTTGAAATATATTACTACTAATCCATTGTGAGATGACGCTCACTCCCTCCCCTTTAGTGGATAATGTCGTTTTCTATAAAAATAAAAATAAGCAAAAATAAAAATAAAAATAAAACAATGAAATGGGCTTACATAATGAGGACTAGATGGGTCCTAAACTAGCCCAGCCCAAATTCACACCATAAAATTGGACAATTATTGGACTTGATCTTTGTTTTGACTTTTAGCCTATCATAGCCCAATGGAATGTCCTACAAAATATTTGTTCCCTCCCACTTCCCAAACACAATTGATGGTCTCAAAGTGGTCCAACCACCAATTGACAAAAAAACAGTGACAAAAAATGGATTGACGGAAAAACAAAAGCAGAAAAAGAAGGTCAAAAACATTGACCAACGTGTTCATATTATCCTGAAGAGTCATGACTCTTCGTATTCAAACATTCAAGAAGAAGACCACAGACAAGAAGAAAACACTCCTAAACCATCTTTGCCACAGTTACATATATATATATATAAAATACATATATATGCTAAGTTGAACACAAAAAGTTGGTTGCATCCCCACCATCATCTTCTTCTTCTTCTTCTTCTTCTTCCTTCAGTGTGTCAACCTAAATTTGTAATTATAGTTAGGTTTTTCTGCAATTTTGGATTAGCGGTTGATTAATTCATATCGAGTGCTTAATTAAGTCTAATACATTGAGCAAGATGAACACCTTAAAAATATCAGAACCATCTTTGCCTGATTAGTTTAGTGCAAACTATGCGAAATGCTTCTTGATCTGATTCACTAATTATAAATTTATAATTAAACCCTAATTGAACTTATAATATTGGCTGACTTGTATGGCAAGTTGCTAGTTGGCATTTTTGATTATTTGACTGTGTTATTTTAACTCTGTTTTTCAATGGGGGGGTTGGTGCAGTGGTGTGGTAATTAAAGCTCAGTTTTTTACCTCCTAAAACATGGGTTTTTTTTTTTTTTGAATCTTAACGAAACACATCCGGTACTATTCACTTTTAACGAAAATGACATGTTTACCTTGAAAATTCACTTCTGGTACTATTCACTTGCACATTTCTTTTGTCATTTTCATTAAAACTAAAATTTTTGAAAACTTTTTGTTAGTTTTCCTTTTATTTTTCCTACCTAAAACTTTGTTTAGATAATTAACTTTAATTAGGGTGTCACTCTGAACTGATCATCTTTAATTATTTTTCTAGCTAAATTACTTGATATGTGAAAGCTTTTCTTAGTGGAGAAGCAACTAAGCGAAGGCGCAAGAATAATTGGTCATTGTTGATGACTTAGTAGACGTATAATGTTTGTGTGTTTGATTTTGGATACAAAACATTGAGAATCAAACGTATACAAATATCGATTGATATCTTAAAACACACGAGAATCATCTGTATATATAAATGAGCGTTCAGTACGGTACATGATAAATGCTCTAAACATAATTGTTGAAACTTGAAACTTCTTTTCTCGTTTAGAGACTGTAGAGCATGATGGCTGTACTATTGTTTTACCAACAATGAGGTACAATAAAGTAAGAGAAAATCATGAGAGCTTTAGAATGAGAAGCAGGGATGGCTTGCAGCGTTCACATTTTGGTGGTGCTTGCTTGCTTAAGTTAATTAAAAAGTATTTTAAGGGTTCAAATGTTGGATGAGCATTGCAGGCCCCATGTCTGTGTTGAACACAATGGATCAATGCTGCTGTGCTTTATCCAACAAAATGTCTCTGATATTAATAGATTAATACTAAGGATTTAATAAGACAAGAACTATGTGACAAATTTTTTTAATTTACAATTATTAAGGACATGAGAAAGTTCGAAACTATTACAATGATTTAAGAAATCAGGGAGTTTCTGAGATGCATGTGTAGAAACCCAAAACTATAGCCACTAAGGTATACGACAAGTTCTTTGCTTTTTCAAGTTTTGGAGGGATTGGAGCTCAAAAGGGTGCAGGTTTTAAGTCCTTGAAGTCTTGCCTCTTATTACTTTTTCGCACTCAAATTTCTTTATACTCATGGCAATATCAAATACAATTTTTCATGTCAGTTCTTTAATACGACAACCCGTTCTTAGCGCTTGATGAATTGTGCCAAACTCTAATAACAATTACGTGTAACTCATCATACTACAATTTGTATCACCTCCTATTAATCAACAGAATAAAGGTAATACAAAAAGTTGTGTTGATGTCCCAACTAAACTATTCCATGTGCATGTGGACGAAATGACATGCATAGTCTCCAGAAGTCCATTATTACTACTATCACAATCATTGTTAATTTCATCAATTTGACTTTAACACATGTGCATGATGATTATTCCTCTCCTTAAAATGGTTTAAAGGTTAAACCTTAATCAATCACCAAATGGACTAATCTAGGTTAATTTTTGGACATGACAATGGAGTTTACTCAAATTACACGGCCGTACTAATTTTCTAACATTATTGAAAATGAAGTTAGTGGGATTTGTTAAGTAAAGCATTATTTAAAGCCAAATGCTAATTTCTATATGGACGGTCAAAAGCTTTGAAAAAACAAAGCAGAAGCTTAATTAATCATGGAATAATGGCCAATTAACTAATAATTTTGGGAAGTAATACAAGCTGTTGAAATTTCAAAAGTAGGACAAAGAAAAGATCCCAAAGAGACGTCGTTTTACAAGGACGACTTGAGGACTTGAGGACTTGAGGTGCCATTGAATCTGGTCTCAAAATTTGCATCAATCGTTGGCTTATCACAACTGTCTCGTCCTAAATTGATGTTCCATGTAACACATCGCAATCTTGAAGCCAAATAAGTGCCTTCCTTTTCGATCACGCTGTTGATCATCTCGTCAATATCCTCGTCATTTTCATCGTCATCACTATTCTCATCCAATTGCAATCCAATTGCATTTTTGCTCACCATCATTTAGTGTGGCGTATATGTCATCACCTTATTTATCACCGTTAGATGAGTTTAAATTTTAAGATTTGTTTATATCCACTACACGAATCTTAAAATTTATACTCATATAATAGTGATCAATAGGATGATAAGCATACATCACACTAAATGATGATGAGCAAAAATACTCTCATTCTCATCCTATCATAAAACCCTTTGCCTTTTTTTGCTTGTTGGATCTAGCCGATCACTTTATTAGTTGTTGACCATTGTTCATCAATTGGCTCGAAGCCTCAAATGTTATACCAATACCATGTATGTGCCTGTATACATGCTTAATGAACTTTTGCATGTCCCGATTATACACTTGTTTCCTACGAACGCTATTGACTACTAAATGATGGTGAGCAAAAATACTCTCATTCTCATCCTATCATAAA